TAAAAATAATTAGTTGCAACATAATATTATGTACATGACAAATAAAATATCAAGAACAAAAATCACAATTTCTATGGCGCTCCTCCCACTAGCCATGCCAACCACGGCTCTCTCTAAGCTTCCCTTCCATAAAGTGCATGCTTTGTTGATAGTCTTCCACTGATCATAAACACCACCACCATCCCGCCTGCCGCCATTACAGTTTTCTTGAAACTTTGCAATGATTTTATCCCAAACATTCTTATTTTGATTAGTGCCAATTGCACCATCTTCGCTAACAGAAACCCATACCAAGCATAGAGCAACATCTTCCTCAGAAGTCCAATTACGACCTCTAATATGCTCTCTTGCCATGTTGAACAATTTGGAAATGGAAAGAAATGGTAGAACAATAAATTGGAAGAATTGTAAGAGAAATTTGAGTTTTGTGTGGATGTTTGAACAAATACATAGGTATTTATAGAGTTTTTGGGTGAATTTTGAGTTAAATAATTTTTTTAAAATTATTTTAGCCGTTAGATTTAAATTTAGGCCATTAGATTTTTTTTTACCGTTAGATTTGATTATATTTGATCTCAACCGTTGGATTCAATGTATTTTAAAATAACATATTTTAAAAAATCAAATTTGAATCTGGACCGTTAGATCAACCAACGGTCCTTGAAAAACAGCCATCGGATTGAAAATGTAGCCGTTGGAGGTGGTCTGGGTGGCCGACAAGCCGCTGACAGCGGGGCCCACCTTGTCGAGAACGGATTGCATGCGCTTCGGGTGGGGTACGTTGGAGCGTGAATGAGCCGAGACTGGCCCAATGGCAAACGAGTCCAGTCGCGCCGGGGGGGGGGGGGGGAGGAGAATTCTGGGGGGTATTTGGCCCAACCTTAACATTTGGCATTTAGCCCAATGTTTTAGCATGGGTTGGAGATGGTTTTTTTTTGGGGGGGGGGGGGGGGGGGGTGGGGATTTGGGGGGTAATTTAGCATTTAGCCCACCACCATTGGAGGTGGTCTAAGGAAGCTTTTTTTTTTTTATTTTTTTTATTTTTTTTTTTGGGAACAAATGATATTATCTACACTAGGGGGTGGAGAAGTGTGCTAAGCCTCACAATGGGCTAGCAATTATGTGGGTTGACTTCGCATTTGGCGAGAGTCGAACTTAAGACCTTTCACTTACAAGTAAAGAGGAATATCACTAGATAGTAGTACACCAATGGAAGTCTCTATTTAGGAACTCCCACCACCACTTTTAATTACTCATTTAAGGACTTTGAGAGAATCTTTGTGTCCCTAAAAGAATATTGCCTTAATCAGTAGAGTCCTTATAGTAGAGTCCCTAAATTTGAAGCTTTTATGATTTTATGTGATAATTTGATTAGGTGCATATTTTTTGTTTATGTTATCCCTTTTTTAATTAATTAAAAGCATTAAAATTACAAGCATTAAAATCACTAAGATTTTCAATCAAGATTGTGAGTCCTGTTTTCTACTCAAGATGCACATTTTTTTTGCTTATGTTAACCATTTTGAAATCAATTAAAAGCATTAAAAGCTTCAATTAAGATTGTGGGCCATGTTTTCAACTCAAGGTTGTCCCTATACAGTCCCTATATGTGAGGACATACACTATGTATCCGGTGAGTCCCTATACTTTAAGGACTCACTTTCCGATCTATTGGAGATTCATTTTGTCCCTATATTTGTTTTATACCCATTTTATACGGTGTTTAGGGACTCCACTGGAGAAGGAAGCTTATTTTAAAGATTAAGATTTCCTAACCATATCTCCAGAAAATATCATCTTGGACACCAAAAAATCCAAAAAATCCAAAGAAAAATATGAAACTTTGATATGAACAAGTTGAGAGACTTACGAACGTCCTCCAATTGAAATCACTTCAAATTTATCCATTTAATCACTTTTTTTCTCAAGAGAAAGTCGCATATCCTACATTGAAAATATGAAGCAAAATATCAAAATTTCATCAAAATAATTACTAGAGCATACTAAGAATAGGGTTAAAAATATAGAATAATATCAACTCGTCGCCACGTTTTCATTTTGAATCCCACAAGTGAAGTGATTAGCGTCCTTAATTATGATTAGTTCTTTTTTTTTTTTTTTTAAGCCGTATGAATTGTTAGGCTCCTCAACTTGAAGACGCAAACTGGAACAAATTTGGATCAAATCTGGGAGATAACACTGATCTGGTCTGTTTTCGTTGCGATTGGTACACGAGACATCAATGGGAGGATCTTCTTGAGCTAAGTTGTGTATTGTTTTTGTTTGTTTGTTTGTTTTTTTGAAGATTATTTTCATGCAGTATGGAGTTGAAAATGAGCTAAAAAGGGAAGGCAATTACCTCTTTTACTTATTCACTTGCACATTATGGATTGCGGGAACAAAGAAGCAACTTATGGGACAACGTTGCTCCGGATTGGCTGGTTGTGTTGTTGGAAGGTGATATCCAGGATGGCTTAACGTTGCTATTTTTTTGTGGTTGGGGATGGCTAATTAAACCCTGTCGTGAGCCGAAAATCTTGATGCGCAAACCTATATGGAGGACACACATTGTCGAGCTGATTCGAGCGTGGCATTCCTCGGGATTTAGCATCCCAAAATTGTGGTATTGAGGTGAGTGTGATCCTTGAAACAATTCTTCAATGTAACAAAAATAAAGCCATGTAGTGTTTATCCTATTCAAATAATAATATATGTTATTAGTATATTTTAAAAGTGAGATATATCAATTGTGTCATCCACCTATATTATATTTACCTTGAAGTCTACGAACTTTTTTTTTATTGCATTCGTTACGATATTTGATATCATTTAATGGCATTGTTAATAAGCATCAAACTCCTTTTCAATTTATCTTGTGTACAAAGTTTAGAAATTGAAATAGTTTTTTGCAGGACAAGCAAGCCAAATCATAAGTTTGTATAACTATACTTTACTATTTCAAGTTAATAGGTTTCATTTTGCATCTGCAGATATCTCATTTACTAAAAAGAATATCACTAAATCGTGTCCACTAACAATTGACATTTCCTCATTTGATTTGGAGAACAATCTCTCAGGCCCCGACAGATCATCTTTGGTCCACTTGACATTCTCTGCATGGAAGGGGATTCTAAGCTTGTCATCCAGATGATGCAAGATGTTTGGATGCCCCTTTGGCATCTTAAACCTATCATAGAGGACATCAAATGGTTGACTTCTGAATTTTAACATATCAGTTGAAAGCATATTTATAGGGAGGCTAATTTCGTGATGAACGCATTAGCTCATGTGGGCCTCACTGTTGACAACCCACATTTTTGGGATTTTTGTCTTCCAACTTCGGCTATGGAGGCTTTTAATTTTGATTGTATGGGAAATAGTTGTATTAGAGGTTTTAAGCTTTAATAAATTTCTTCATAAAAATAAAAAAAAAATAAAAAAAAGACAAAAAGAAAGGCTCACCACCCTAACTTGTGAGCAATACCACTGTATTAGTGGGTTGACACCTGTCACATGGGATAACCATGACTAACAATTGAAATTCTTAGCAAGATTTTTATCAAGGCTCATGTAAGTGTTGGAAATTTTGAGTAGATATTTTATTGTCCCACATTGGTTACCACCAAAATGTTCTTTTACTTTCTAGGGCATTGTCTCCCTTAGAAAGTGATTAGAGTGATGGACCATGGAGAATAAAATTGGGCTTAGCCTTGAGTTTGGATTTTGGAGTGTACTAATTAATATATATTTAATATGTATATATTTTTGTTTAATTTTGGATTTAATTAATTAATTTTTATATCAGCAGACTCATATTTTCAAATGAAGCCTGAAGTGATGAAAGAATGCCAAAGAGCAAAGCACCCCTATGAAAAGATGTGCCTTAACAGACGCATCCCATTTAGAGCACATAAAAAACAAATTCTCCTTCTACAATCCCAAACCTTCTTACTGAGAGAACCACACAAATATTCGCCAGAAGTCTAGTTTTCCAGTTCTGGAATCTCAATTTAGATTGTTTAATCCTGGTGAAGCAGACATCCATCGAACAACAAGGACAAAGTAAGGACGAAATTTTGTTTCAAGGACATTGCGGTACGCAAGCCTCGATCTTTAGTTTGTCTATTAATATTATTTTATTTTGTTCATACTCTGTCAAATTATTTATTCACATTTATTATTTATTAGCATATATAAATATATCATTGATTGTTGTATTTATCCAACAGTGATCATCTCACTTTGTACGTTTTCTTTCATCTTAATGAATATCGTACTTTCCTCAAGGAAAAAAAAAAAGATAGAGGAAACTTAATTTAGAAACTAAAATTGAATTCCTTCCATATTTCTACTCATCAAAACTTTCCATTATTTCCCCTTAGCAATCCATTTAGATTCACATGTGTGTGTGTATATAGGAATACAATCAATATCACAATTTTAATTTACAATAAAAAGAAGGGTTTAAAATCAAGACACAATAAGTTACAGTGGAAGTCTTTAACTATCATGGCAATCCACCACTTGCATTTAGATTCATATATAAGTGGCTCACTTTGCAACGAGAAGAACCCAATAAATAAAATTATATGAGCACGCTGCTTCCACTGCACTAAAAAATTGAAGTTAAAAATTATATTTGAATTTAAATTTAACTTAATCTCTCTTTAATGAACAAAAGAGTTATAGTCATATGACTATAGAGTCAAGAGCAAAGTCATATTTAACATTTAATACCAAGTGTTAAAAGTGTGAGCCTCAGATATTCTACACCAAAGGAACTTGTTATATTTTATTTTATTTTATTACAAAACAATATCCTACATTAGTTTACACTAAGAGGAGGCCATGATTAGAACTCGAAAAGCAGTGCATTGAGCAGGAAGTCCTTGTATTCAAGGTGTATCTGGATGTATCCACAGCTGTACTTGTGTTTCATAGTATAAAACAGTAGTTGTGGGACACTATCTTGATCAAAACATGCAGCTACTAGAAGTATATATATAAAGCACCCATATATATAATATATATACTTATTTTCGGTCAGTTACATCTATTCAATTGTGATTTCTGATAAACAACCTTGAAAGCTAGAACCAAGATGCACATGACCACCACAGCATTCCTTCATGTAGCTTTTGCAACACCCACCGACTTCTCTTTTCTCCAACACACAAGCATGAATTGCTACTAATTCCGAGCAACATGCTTCCTTTTCCGCTGTCCGGGAGCGAATGCAAGAATTCGTTGCGGCTGATTCTGTGTGGTCGCAACCCGCTACAATGTCAATCGTCGTATGAGGGGGTGATTGTTTATCTTGATTATGGTGGTTCTGATGATCACATCTTGTGGCAAACGTTTCTCCTAACGATTCATTGTGAATATAATCATTGCCACAATGAGTTGAGTGGCAATGACCAGTACTTGTCAACTTTCTGCTTTCCTCCGAGGAAAAAGTAGAATGGTTGCAGTGTTTTGGCTCATGGATTGCATCACCTTCCATTATACTATGCTCCTTTCCACTGTGGCTTGAGTGCCAATGAACACCACTTGTCAATTTTTCGCTTTTGGGCAAAGCAAAAGCGGAATAATTGCAGTGTTTTTCCTCATGGACTCCATCATCTTCTTTTCTGTTGTGCTCTTTGCCGCAGTGGGTCGAGTGGCAATGACCTTGACTTGTCAACTTCTTAATTTCCACCAAAGAAGAAGCAGAATGATTGCAGTGTTTTGCCTCGTAAAGTTTATCACCTTCTGCGCATGAGCTCAAATTATGATGACTCAAACAACCATGATTGTGTTTATTCTGTGACTCGAGATCATGATTGACTTTGGTGCAGCTTGTTTCATCACAGTGCTGTGCCTCATGTAAGTCACTGCACTTAAGTTTACAGGGAAAGCTTGAATTTAAGGGACTAGGCTGGCACTCTGATCCACATTTCTGCGAGGAACATTTTTGAAGTTTACAGGCTGCTTTTAAGGGTTTGCTGTCCGAGCAACAATGTTGGTTTTTGTGAGAATGGCTATGTCCATGGCTTCCATGTTTATGGCCATGTGGTGCAGAAGTTTTCCCTCCATGCTTGTGGGTTCCTCGTAAGAGTAGCATGCTGTTGAATATCACAAGCATGCATGTCCCGACATCAGCAAGAACTGCAGCCCAAACGAGTGGATGCCCTGCAAATCCCAGTGCAAGGATACTGACCTTAGTAGTGATTGACAAAACCACATTCTCAATCACTTTTCTATTAGCTCTTCTCGCAAGTTGGACTGCTTTCGGTAGTTTCCTAACGTCATTTGACAGTAAAATTATATTCCCAGTTTCTTGAGCAAGGGCTGATCCTGAAATGCCCATTGAGATACCAATATCGGCTGTGGCTAAAGCAGGGGCATCATTGATACCGTCTCCAATCATTGCTGTATTTCCTTCCATTTTAAATTCTTTAATGATTCTTGCCTTGTCTTCAGGTAGAAGTTCCGCATGGACTACCTCGAGAGCTTGCTTAAGCTGCAAATCAGATAAATTTTCTACTCTTATTTTTTCTTTTTTTCTTAATATGCAAACAAAATATATATGCAGTTCTACAGCCATGTATACCAGGGAAGATCATACATTAAATCAATAAAAGTGAGTGTAGTGTGGAGCGCATGGTGTGCGTGTGCAGATTTAGGCATAGTGATATGAGGCTAAAATATTAGGAATAACACACCTGCTCATTTGTATGTAATGCGGCAGCATTACTGTCTCCTGTGAGCAGAGCTGTTTTAATGCCTAACTTCTTTAGCTCCTTGACAGCCTCTGCAGCCCCAGATCGACAAGCATCAGATATTGTAAAGACTCCAGCGGGGGTTCCCCCAGAGTATATGTAACCAATCGTCTTCCCACCTTTAGAACCTTCAATTGTTGGAACTGAAATTTCAAAAAGCACTAATGATGAGAGATCCAAAAAGACCATAAACAAAAAGAAAATGAATCATATTCTTGGAATCATTCGAAATAGCTTCCAAAATAAAGGAGTTGATGGCATTTACTTATTTCACAAGCAGCTCTCAAAGCAATTTTTCTGTTTCCAATGTAGATATCTTGTCCATCAATTTTCCCATGAATACCTTCCCCGGGAAAATTTTGAAACTCCTCCACATTTTCAGGTTTTGGCTCAACCGAAAGCGATCTTCCATAGTCAACCAGCGCATCTGCCATTGGATGACTTGACTTCCTCTCAATGCTTGAAACCCTTCATAAAGATTAATAAAGTAATCAATAAACTGCAAACTTAGTGAAATAATAGGAAACACTTTCGAAGAATAATGCAGCATTAAGGCAGCCTTAAATTCGTCTTTAAACTGAAGGCCTCTTCTGAATGTCATGAAGTAAATTTTTTCTTTCCATCAGAGTTTTGGTGTCATTCAACATGTTGCTGAATAGAGGAGTTGCAGTGTATACCAGTAAAGCAATGTGTTCAAGCTAATGTCATCACGGAGAGATTGAAAATCCATCACCACAAATTCACCCCTTGTTATTGTACCAGTTTTGTCAAAAGCCATGATCTTGACTTTAGCAAGAATCTCAATGTAGTCACCTCCTTTGATCAGAAGTCCAGATGTTGCCGCTTTTGTGAGCGTGCAGAAAGTCACAATGGGTGTAGAGAGGATGAGACTGCATGGACATGCGCTCACCAAAACAACCAAAGCTAAGTGAAACCACTTGCTCCAATTGTGAACATGTAATGCAGCTGGAATCACCGCGATAGAAACAGATATGACTAGGACCGCTGCAAAACAGCACCACAAAACATATAAATCCAACCGATTGCGTTCTCCTTAGCAGTAAAGAATAGGGAAACATATGAAATGTATGGGGAAAATAGACTAACCTGGGGTATAGAACATTGCACATTTGTCAATGAATCTTTGAGTTCTGGTTTTGCTGTTTTGAGCCTCTTCGACAAGTTTTGCCATTTTGGCGACCGCACAATCTTCAGCCAATGATGTAGTCTTCACACTAATATAACCTTCACATATAGAAACCAAAATTTGTCATAAAAGAAAACATAATTCTTTATTCAAGATCAAAGAATGACGAGAGCGAGATTTATGTTACCATTAAGATTGATAGTGCCAGCCCAAACAGTGGAGTCCTTTTCTTTGGCAACTGGATAGGATTCTCCAGTTAGTGTTTTCTCATCCACTTCAGCTTTTCCTTCAACAACTATTCCATCAATCGGTATAATTTCGCCGGCCTTAACAGCAAGAATTGTGTTCAACTTAACCTCATCAACACCCACAACTTCTCCACTTTCTGCTAAGATTGCTTTTTGGGGCGCCATGCTCATCAACGACGACATCACTGCTTTCGCCTGAGTACATAAAAGCATGTCATTTTACATGTCTGGCTGTCTATGATATACGTTAGCAAGTCATCCATTAATCCTTTACGCAACATTTTACTGTGTTAGTATCAGTGTTTTAAAAAATGAGCCTTGAGGTGCGCTTAGGCAGCTTTGGAGGCAGGGCGGTGATGAAAAAGCCTATGCTCAGTGGGAATAGGCTTAAACTCGCCTAGACGTGATCGAGGCATGCCTAGGAGGTTGCGGCGTTCGACTGGGCGTTTTTAAAAGAACAAAAGAAAAAATGCCAAAGTTCAAGTTCAAGTAGACTGTATGACAATACCCACATAAGTTCAACTACACTATATGACATACCTTCCAACTAGACTACATATTAATAATTTTATATCCCGTGAGGCTATCACCTCAACCTCAAGGCTTTTGCCTAGGCAGGGCTTCACCTTCGCCTTTTAAAGCATTGGTTAATATTTGGTTTATCACATAATTATGTACAAAAGTGTCTTCAGCAAAATTTGTTGTTCCAAAATCCATTGCTATGTTTTTCTGCCACTTATTGTCACTGTTTAATTCAATGAGATTAGTTCTTAATTTTTTTATAAAAAAGAAGGATGAGTGTTTTATGCTAACCCTGTAACCTGCAGAACACTGGAGCCACTCTGCAATGGTGAACAGAAAGACAATCGAGGCAGCTTCTGTATAGTCCTTCAAAGCAATTGTCCCAATTACTGTCAAAAGTTACACTATCTATCAGTTTATCAATACCAGTAACCAGTATACTATATATAAAATATAGCACCGGGTCCCAGGGACGGAGCCAGAAATTTCTTCTAGTGGGGGCAACCGAAAACAACTAAGAAAACCTTATTATAGTATGTTTATATGCAATATGATATTAAGGATGGTTTCAAATGATGATGTATCACAATTCCAATGTTACAAAAATTTCAATATAGTAGTGGAAAGTGGCAAAGTGATGGGAAAATATATAAGTACATGATAGGCGAGAGAGGGTTTTTTCGGTTTGAATGACAGAACAAGAGCACTATTGCTCATATAATATTTGATATGGAGTATAAGTAGAATGAATGTATGTTGGATATTAGATACATATATTTTCTTCAAAGATAACCCGTGTATATTATATAATTGTAGTCTGCAACTAAACAAACGAATTATTTGAGTGGGGGCATCTGCCCCCAGTGAGCTTTCATTGGCTCTGTCCATGGCACCGGCACAATGGATTTTCATATATATACAAACATGCACAAATAAGTAACTTCTGTACCATGTGTGCATTATTGTAATAAAGTTCTGGATATAAGTCCCATCTTTAACAGCATTTTTCCAACTGCAACTGAACTCATATTTTAGTAGATTCAATTTTGTAGTTTTTGGTTCTCGCAATTAAATTGAAGAACCATTTATTTTATAAAATTTACATAACAGAAATAAACGTGATAAGAGAAATGTTGCATTAATGGAATCCACTGAGATTATAAACTATAGACATACGGACTAAATTAGACGTACGGTTCACAAAATGATGAGCCAATAATAGCATCCTCATTCATAAAAAAGGGAAAGCCGGCCAATAATGAGCTAGGGCCAGTGGAATTAGACGTTAAGGTGGACTAAAAATTTAGAAAACCTAATCTAGACAGAAAAGTTTTTTAAGTCTAAGAAGAGATGTGAAAGTACAAAAATGCAGAACATGCTATAGGAGGATTCAAGTAATGCTCAGAAGTCGGAACCCCTCCAGCATTACTCGAAAAAGCCTTGAATTGGTAGAGTTATGTTCTCTGAAAAAAAAATTTAAAAAAAAAAACCTTTAAGGGTCCATTTGGTATTTGCTTGGATCCAATTTTTTAACTCAAAAATAAATTTTCAATCCCAAATTTACATTTGTCGTTTCGTATTTACTGTGGATCCAATTCTCAACACCACAACTTAAAAATATTTAAAAAGGTGTTCTGGCTTTTTTTTTTTTCTTTCTTTTTTCTTGTTTTTTGTAAGTTTGAGAAGTTGTAAACCAAATAAGTTTTTCGATTTAAAAAATTAAAAAAAAAACAAAAAAAAACATGAGTTTTTAGAGAAGAAAAAAAATATTAAAATTTTAAGTTCAATTCTCAAATAAAATACCAACGAACTCTAAGTTTTTCAAGTGTCAAAACAATCTAGCCATTCCATTTTTCCTAAAAATGTATCACTTAAACTCACAATAAACTAATAATAATATGGTTAAAATTCGCTAAATAACCATCCAAACTTTTAATCTAACCCACCCATACATATCCATTCAAACTTGCAAGAAGCCAAAGACTAACCATTTGGGTCATATTTTGCCTAACGGTGGCTTTCGGACTGCTACACAGAAACCAACATATCCATTCAAACTTTCCAAGGAAACGTGATGTGTTGCAATTTTTCTTAGAGAAAAATCGAAAAGCATCAATCGTTATGGTTATTCGGTGTGAAGGTCGGCAAAGTCTTTTTCTTAAACATCCTTGCAACAGAGAAAATCAAAACAAAAGGATCAATAGTTTTATGGTTATTCGGTGTGAAGCTCGGAAAAGTCCTTTTTTTAAACATCCAATGAGCTTGGTGCCCAGAATCAAATATATATGTACAGTATAACGATACGAACAACAATCGCAATTTAGTGATCAATACTAATCCAACTTGCAATAAGAACAAGATGGCCTAGATTTATTTAATACAACATTTTGCTTATCTTAAAACTATAGCTAATTTTTGTAATCATTTTTATAAAGTAGCTGACAAAGAAATGAGTATTGTAAGTGGTACCAAAATTTGGAGTGTAAAAAAATATGGTTTGACGAATAACTCTAATGTAAGACACATGATTGTATATGCTCTTTTCACACTTTACATATTGTTCTCATGATAGATGATTGACTAACAATCATACGTACTTCAATTTTTATATGATATTTTCATATAATTAACGTAACATCATGCACCAATAGTGTAAAACCAACATTAGATTGGTGGAAAACCAGTCAATTAAATGAAAAAAGAAGTTGAATATTAAGACCAAGTGTTGACTCACCAGCAATGATAACAAGAATGTTGATGTCATGAAACCTGAAATTCCGAACAGACGCAAAACCTTTCGAAGCAATGGGGAAAATGCCAACGGCAACCGCTCCAAGGGCCAACCATCCTAATGGCCGATATACATACTTGAGAAATGATAGAACCAGTAACACGCCACTACCAATTGCATATGGACTTGGCCACGTTTTCTTGTAACTGTCCCCTGCCCCATACACTCTCACATTTGCTTCTAGCCTTCCTTGGTTTAGTGCCTTAACTGTCCATGAAATAACAGATCGTAGGATTGTGAATCTAGACGACACATTTAGGTAAATCAACTAACAGTACTAGATTATACAGTACTAAGAAATTCATGCTTACTCAAGATACCTTTTTTTTTTTTTTTTTTTTTTCTGGTAAACAAAGAAACATATTATGTGCTCTTTTTAATTTATCAAGATCAAAAGGGCATTTTCCTCAGGGAAAAACAAATTTGTTTCTGTTGCCCTATCAGTTTTCCGATATACATTCATGTGAGTTTGCTGTCGTATTGATTTCTTTCAATTTTCAACGTTTCTAAACGCTATCTGATGGGGCAAAACAAAAGAATTTTACCCTTACAAGTAATGACGGAGATAGAAAAACTTGTGCACTTTTATTAAGGTAAAAGAGTAGGTGAGAGGCCGGCACATTGCACATTGCACTGAGCATATTTTATTTTCAAATAAAAAGTTTGAATCTTTTTATTTTATGAAAATGAAAAACCGTGGCTTACCACTAGTTGTCCAATTTTTTAAGAAAAAAAAATAGTCTCAAGACTCACACCAAAGGGGTGAAATATTAGCCACAACTGAAAGCTATTATTAAGTATATTATACAGAGTAAATTGTGAAACCAAAGTAACGTTCAAAAGAGTTCCCATAAAAAAAAATTAAAAAAAAAAAAAAAAAAAATTGTTACGTATAACGAGTTCGTAAGATTTTTTGTTACAAACCCATCATAAAAAATTGCAGAAAGCACCTAGAAAATGGGAAATTATATTGGTGGGATGTCGTAGTGGGTGATAAAAAGGAAAGCAAAATTGTACGTGAAAGTTGGGTAAAGCAAAACATATAAAGCATGCTCGCCTCTATCTTTTTGGTTCATGATTGTACACGATATGCCGATTAATAATTCTCCCACAACAGAAAAAGTACACGTCCACCTACTGGTATCGTTCTTTGTTTTTTTCTTTTTTCCCAAAACTATTTGCTTTCTGTTGTGCAAGTATCACCAAAAATAAACCAATTTTTAGCACAAATATTAGAGAATTAAGGGAAAATACTAATATTAACTGGTGTAAAATTATTTAAGAGAATATATTACCGATTTGAAGTTGGGAAATGAGAAGGGTATCATGGACAACAATGACAGTTCTGGAAGGCACAATCACTGAAACCTCTTTTACACCTTCAAGAGGCTTGAGGATATTCTCTATCAGAGGAACTTCTGATGAGCAGCACAACCCCAACACATCAAAGTAGCTCTTCTGAAACTTTATGGCTGCCGGCTTTTCTTTGCCCTGGGCAGAAGCCATCCTGCTTAATTATCTCTCAACTTCTGCAAATACACAGGACACAGGAAAAATTACTAATTTTCTGTTGGTATACAAACTTTGTGTCTGATTTGTGACGAATAGAGTTATGAAAATTATTTGGTCAGAAGTTCGTGTGTGTGTGTGTGATGCAGGTGTACCGAGGGTCTTGAGGAGACAAAGAATAGGAAACCTGGGAATTATTCAACCAGGGGCAACTCAGCTCTGTTGATAATACTAATCGTGAATTCATTCAACATGATCAAGCCAAACGCTTAAAGAAAATCACCTTGTAGGTAACGGGGAGCTCTGGGGATTCTTCAAGCTTAATTCAGACAGAGAGAGAATAATAGGGTCTGAAAGCTTTAAGTAGATGAAGGTGTGGGAACTACATATATAAGAAGGGAAGGATTCTAACTTATGGAGGAGGACATGTACATAAAGAATATCTTAAATTAATGAAGTAATCTCCTAGCAAAACAACTTTCTTTGGTTGTTATAATTGGTTCACGTTTCTCTTGTTGATGAGACACAAATAGTGGAGAATCAGACGGAGGGAAAAAGAATGGAATCCACATGTGAATCCACATCAATGCTTGTTTTATAGCATATGTGCTTAAATTGATGAGATTTTAATTTTTTTGTTTCTTTTTTTACTTTTATTCTACGTTAGTTTATATTTTCACCAATCTTTGTTACATTTTTCCAACCCGCCTTCCTTTGCTATCCTTCCTTTCCAACTTTTACTTTTTCGTTTAAGCCTTTGAGGTGGAGGAGAAGGATTTCCACACTCTTTTTGCCATTACACTTTCGTACTTGTATTCGTCTCTTAATTATTTACCGTAGTGCCAAGGGGGTTGATGTGTGAACACTTGATGGCCATTCTAACTGATTTAGCAAGTACACCCTCAACGGCAAGTAATGTAGTAAGCCAAACAAAAAGACATGGATGTGTTATGAATAGAATTATTAATTAGAAATTTGATTTTGTACACTTAAAATAAAATTCTAATGGGATATGAAGATCCAATCCTCAAAGGTTTGAATTACTTGTAAGACCCAAAAATAAAAAAAATAAAAAAATAAAAAAATAAAAAAAAGAAAAGAAGAAGAAACTCATCAGGATTAGTATAAATAAAGTTACAAGGCCAACAAGTGAGGTCACAACTCTCATACACATTAGCCATTCTCTCTTAGCCATCCCCTCTTTCTCACAATCAGCACGACGTGTCTTTACGAGAAAGAGAAGGTATTGGAAAAAAACCCTGCAAATCCTTTTCACCATCTTCATCAACATCCAAGTAATCTTAAACCATAATCTATTTGGTTTCAATTTAATTTATCCCATGAATACTATGATTATTGTTCTGTGTAATAGGCATGTCATATCAACGTTGATGAGTATGTGTGGGTAAGAAAAAATTAAGGGATTTCAAAACGCTAAATCACAGAAGTCACGGGTTGAAGCCGCACCAGCGTCTGAGCTGCCAAGCTGCTCCAGTCGTTTAAATGGTTACACGCTATGTCGTTTGACATGCCTTCTTCTTCTTCCAAAACTTGGTCGTCGCCGCTCTGCCTCGTTGAGTCGTGAGGGATGTGATCCTATGCCACCTCCTATGACTTTTGCTGCTAATGATGATGATGGCTCCCATCTCCAACGTCTTTTGTCATCGAGGTTGTGATGGGGAATTACCCTGAAGGCAGTAGATGGAGCAAAAAATAATCAGGAAAATTATGGAGGTGATAAGTGGACTTTTGGGTGGTAAGGACATAATTACTCTCAAAGCACACCGGGATTCCCACGCGCATGCAATGCACAATAATGGCTCGATCAAGGAAGAGTCAAAGGTGACCAAAATGATATTTATTCAAATTCCTCTCATCAGTCCTTATCAAATCCTTATTCAAAAGGTAACTCCCAAATTTCCTATTTAATTTAGGATTAATTGCCATGTTAATTGCAAGATATTATTTGTCATAATATCTTGCAATTATTCCCCCAATTACACCATACATAGCCGACCACTATTCTCCAAATAGGGCCGACTACTCCCCTATAAATAGCCTATTATTTCACTAAAAAGCTAAGCCATTTGCTACCCACAAACTCCTAAACATATTCTTTTCAGAATTCTAATTTTGGCATCGGAGATTCTTCGGACAAAGAAGAAGATGGCGGAAATTTGCATCCATAAATTGGTACTTTTATTGAGAGTTTGATTCACACACTTGAAGAAGACTCTCACATTCAAAGTTTCTCATTTCTCGTTCATTTGTAGATTTTTTGTACATTCTTATTTGTAGAATTTTTTTTTATAAAGTTCTTTGAATAACTATAAAAGAAAAGTACAAGGACTAGAAATTCGGAAACCATAACGAACGGAACTTCCTACGTTCAAGGATTTGGACTAAGTGATGGAGATCAAGGCATAGCCCCACCATGACGATCCACGAGGCATAACACAAGAGGACCGGCACTACCCCCACGGGGCATCACCTTAGCAGCCCATGGTGAGCATACCACCTTGCAGTAGCAGATCTCAGGCTCGTGCCATAAGGTAGCCAGCACAACACAAAGCAGCCCACATCTAGTAGGCCCACGACCCTGCAATGGTAGTTGAGGCCCACGCAGTTATAGTAAGTGGAACAGCCTAGCACTCGTGGGGCCAAGGCTAGCATGAGCCTAGCGAGCTCCAAAGCCAAGCCTAAGACCTGCAGGCCCAAGGCGCAATGCAGCCCCGAGGCGCACCAAAGGGAGCCCAACGCCCATGCGTTCCAGTGGCCCAACTCGCACCCATGATCTGACCCGTGTAGGCGATCCGACCTGCTCTTGCGGTCCAACCTACAGTCCAACCTGTTTTCATGGCCTATTTGGTTATCTCGACCAGTTTAAGACCTATTTAATCGTCCCTACTTCAGATTTCTGGACCGACGATTGAATTAGGGGTATTTTCACCCTATTTTTCCCCAGATTTGACATATCCCAAATCAAATCTCATGCCCGGAGTCCATTACATTTCCACCGCTCAAGGAAACGCATACCGTCCAAGCTCTTCCAACCCAAATGACGAACATCACTTGTCCCGACAAGTCATAGAGTTGATAAGTGCCCTCGCGCAATAAACAACCTTAGTGAATTAGCTATTGCAGTGTACCAAGATGCAGCGTGCCCTAGACGAGGTGTCCCAAAGTAAGACAAGGGCAGACGACGAGCCTTTCTAACAGTGTCCAGGCAAGCAACCACTCGACCAGCCACGAATCGTGCATTCTCGCAATATACCCTTCCGATTGGGCCCCCGAGATAGTGTATACTCTCCTCTTAGAGCCCAGAGGAGCGTGCACTCTTATTTAGGCCCACAGACAAGCTTACATTCACGGTTAAGGCCACACTCCAATAACTAACATGAGTAACCTTCCAAGGAAAGAGTTTATTCATGACTAGGCCTGCAATGAGCATCATTCACCTCACATCAGAGTAGGCAGCATGACAGATGAAGAGAAGCAATCACTTAATCTGGCTCAAGTTCAATCGGCAGCCTACGAGTAATTCGCTCACCTATTAGGAAAGTACCACATGCATCGCAGTCGCGACATAGATGAGTTGAGCACATGGAAGAGTAGCCTAGATTAGCAGGTCATGGCTAGGGGCAGCCTAAACTAGTGGAGAGCTCCATTACCCCAGCAAAGGTAAATTCAGGAAGAAATAGAAAGGCTTCTGACCGAATGATTGATCGATTTCCAGCATAACGAAGTCAGTGACAAGGCGCTCTGAAGAGACATAACAAACATAAGCAGGTCACCCTTCATGGACGAGATCGAGCAGACATAGCCTCTACGTAAGTTCAGCATGCTATATTTCACATCCATGAAAGGAGATAGCGACCTGGATAAGCACCTAATGCACTACCGCAGCTCAATGATCCTTTATGGGATCAACGACACCATCATGTGCAAGATATTCACCACGACCTTACAAGCCGAAGCATAAGATTGATTTCACACGCTGCTGCCACAATCCATCCTGAATTTCGATGAGCTTTTTTTGGTTTTCACCAAGGAATATTCATCATACCCCTAAATAGAAAAGGAGTTGCTCTGCGACTATGTGAAGAGGTTTGAAGTAGAAAAGGCAAAGATAGTCAGTTGCAATGATTCGATAGCTAGTGCAACTTTCCAAAAAGGAGTCCCAGCAGACCATTCGCTATTCGGAGAATTGATCATGAAAGAAGATCTAACTCTGGCTAAAAAATTTGCTCTGGCAGAGAAACATGCAATTTGGAACGAGGCTCCGTGAGTAGACAAAGCACCTGAGCAGCCTAAAAAAGAATCAGCAATAGCTCAAAAGAAGAAGGATGAAAAGCAGTACAACAACAAAAGTAGGCAAGAGGCCAAGCGCATGGATCGATCCACGACGCCTAAGAACTACTCTAAGTTCTCAATCTCGATCCACCAAATCCTTCGTGACATCAAGAGTGAATCGTTTTTCAAGTTGCCAAAACGATCAAAGGGAGATAGCTCCAAGTTGGAACACACTAAGTACTGCTTATTCCATTGAAGTTTCGGTTATACAACCGATGACTGTTATACTTGGAGAAACTACCTAGAGAAGTTGGTGAAAGAAGGCAAAGGTCGATAGATACCTAGACAAGCCAGCTGCGTAGCTTGGAAATAACGTAGACACTGATGAAGAGCTGCCAACCAAGATAATTCGGATCAATGGCATATTCGCCGAGTCCAGGCACTTGGGGGTGATAGGAGCATATTTATGCGACTTAAATGGCTTGTTCTCGTACATTTACGTTATGTTTCTTTAGTTATTTTAGTACTTTAAGCTATTTTCGTGTGTTTGTAGGTCCAAAGGGCTAAAGGAGCAAAAAGATGCATTTTGGAGACTTTTGGAGCACTTTTGGGCTAAGGACGGATAGCTTATGCTTGAAGCCAAAGTGTTGGACGAAATTGAAGACCTAATTGGAGCCAAAGTGTTGGAACCTTGTTCTCTTTAGTTTTAGGACATTTAAACCTTTCCTAATCCCAATCATGCCATGCATAACACACATCCATTCTAACACATTGTCATTGCACATGCATTTCCTTCATTAGTTAACCCACATGCACTTATCACTTATCATCACCACATATCATATCACTTAATCACTTATCACTTATCATCACCACTTAACCACTTATCATATCATAACCACATATCATATCACTCATCACTTATCACTTAACATAACATCCACCTACTTCACCTACAACATCCACTTCACCTACAACATCCACCTACTTCACCTACAACATCCACCCACTTCACCTACAACATCCACCTACTTCACCTACAACATCCACCTACTTCACCTACAACATCCACTTCACCTACAACATCCACCTACTTCACCTACAACATCCACCTACTTCACCTACAAATGACATAGCCATATGTTCCCTCCACTACTCCTATAAATACCCTTGCATTCATTCATTCATGGAGATCTCATTCCATTTCACAACACAACACCCCTCAAACACTTCCATTATTCCCTAACCGTGAGTCCCCCTTCCACCATTCCTCATCCATTTCCATAATTCCCCAAACCTCACCTTAGACCTTGTGCTACAACAACGAGGAAGATAAGAGGGCCTAAACGTTCATACAATTCAAGTTTGAGTTGTTGGAATGTTTAGGTGTTTCTTTGATTTCAAAGTTTAAATTCAATTCTCTTTGTTTTGTACGTATGAGGAATGGAAGAGAAGAATGCCTAAACGTTCATACAATTCAAGTTTGAGTTGTTGGAATGTTTAGGTGTTTCTTTGATTTCAAAGTAATGAGGAACTAATCCCCCTTTAGCTAGGGGGTGATTCGAAACTATGTTTATATTTGCAATATGAATTGATTACTTTTGGTTGGAATTTCATAAGTTGTGGATTCAATTCGTTTAACTGTTTGATTGATAACTTATTTATGTATGTTCATTGAGATTGCAAGCTTAATTTTCATGCATGAATATGACGCTAGAATATAAGTGAGTTTCACCTAATCGTTATGAACTTATATTCACAAGTAGTGGAGGT